TGCGAGTAACGGTGAATTATCAGTCTCAAGATAGAGACTGGCACTAAGCACTTAGAGGGCAGGGGCTGCCATTCTCCGTCGCAGTCTTGGCTGGCACCACAGGGGCTTGGGAGCCACTCTCACCTGCAGCTTCCCACCACGGCTCTTGTTTTCTTAACACAGTTCTGCGGGGATGTGCCACACTGCAGACAGGGTCTTTGCACAACGTCCTCCAAGCCAGTATTAACATTGTGCCACCAAATCTCAGTATGGTTTTCAGTTCAGAACTTAATGTCTTGGCCCCACAGTCTGTGCCCAGCACCGTGAGGTGATGCCTGAATGGCAGTGAAGCATGAAGGACTCCTCTGTGGACGTTACCTCTGCATATGCACAGCAGAGTGACTTTCCCCTCTCCCTGGTATTTTTCACTTCCATGCAAGTGGAGGAGAACATGCTGGCTGGGTACAGGGACTTCTGGGACTCTGGGAGATAGAGCTGAATCACTCAGAGCAAAGTCACCCCCAGTCAAACCCACCTCGGCTCAGCTGACACCTCATTATCAGTGTTGTGCCAGAGAGCTTTTGTGTCAGGCACAAATCTTTGGAAAGAGCATTGGGAACCTCAGGGAGAGGGAACTGGAGGATCAGTTGCTCTTTTTTCTTGGGAAAAGGTGGTGAAAAGGCTTGGGAGCTCGTGGACTGGATAAATTCAAACTGGAACTCTTCCAGGGATTTTGAACTTTCAAATTTAGAACTGCACTATAAGAGTTTTTCACTTTCTCAGCCAGGACAGGGAGTGGAGCTGTGCACATTCTTCAGTTCCCCTGCAGCAGTTTACCCTCTAGAGCACCTGAACCCAGCACCAACATGCCAGAGATGAAGGCTCGTAGAGTATTGTGGCAAGTGCTTGAGGTCAAACTCCTTCAGTGCAAAGGAATCTTAAATGTTAAGGGAGTGAAAAGGAGCATGAAAATGGCTCTGCACAGGTAATAGTCCAAGCAGTCTTTGTGCTTCAAAGTGATTGCATGTCCCTGCTCTGAGATATTCCTGTTTGTTGATCTCAGTGGTGTGCAACAAGGTTAGCAGTGTAGGTTCACTTTGCTCCTTTATTGTTCAATTCATCCATTAGTCCTATCTGGACTTCAAAGATCTTTTCATGTGTCTGCTGGAGATGTTCTTTCTTTAAGTTTGTTCTCCAATTTGATGGCTGCACTGCACAGCCCACACAACCACAGAGGTATTTTTATCTGGTTATGTTATATGGCACTTGATTGATTAGTCCTGGCTCCAGGCTAGTGCTTATAGCACTGTATTTTCATTTGACTCCATCACCTCAAAGGCCATTTTTTCCTGCCTTTACTTTATCTGTCAGCTTTTTGGAAACAAGAACAACACAGAAAAAACTGCATTAAGTTTTGCAGTTTATTTCTTAATCATTTAGGAAAGATCTCAGGATGTGTATCTGTTTTTTAAACATTCCTCCTCTTTTGTGTATCCCAGCTTTATTTTATTCTAGAAATCACAGGTTCTCACTGATTTCCAAATAACCCCTGGCAAGAATTGAGGAAATTGAATCGAGCAGCACATGAAGCTAACACTGGAGGTGTAACCCCTCTCCCTTTTCAAGGTGAAAGGGGAGTGGACACCCAACAGACCTTGCATTGAGGCAGGCAAAACTCTTGCACAACCTGTTAGGTTTTGGCAGGCAGCTCCCAGGGCTTTCAGTCTAGGAAGTGGAACCAGACAAGATCAAATGACACAAATGAACAGAATGTGGAGGTGGAGGGATAGCAAAAGGCAAAGTACAAGGATGAGCTGTCTTATCTCCACGATTTAGAGCAGAAAAACAAGGCAGATTTATCTGTTGTACAACACTGTGTCCACCCAAGGAGTTACTCTAGGGAGGTGCTTTGTCTTGCATGCATAGAAGGGCCCCAAATGCCACTGGTCACTGCACACCAACCAGACAGAGACTATGGGAAAAACAATTTAAAATCTCTTCATGTCACCATGACCAGGCTGAAGTGAGACAAGTGTGCTTATCCTTTGTGACACTGGCAGTGGAGGAGCACCGGAGAGCCAGCTCTGAATATAGCTCCAGCTTGGTTTTGAAGGCATCTCTCCTTGCAGGACCACACAATGGATGACATTTGAGGAACTTGTGCCTTATTCCAACAAGCTGAAAATTGGCTCAAGACTCTTACATGGCGCTCTTGTGCTACAAGTATCATAAATAAGAAAATTTTGGAAAACCACTTTAGTTGGCTTGTGCAATGGTTTGCATGCAGAGCAGCCCTATCTGGAGATTCTTCAGGGAGATACGTGTAGGAAAGGCTCTGCTCCCAAGCCCAGTTTCAGGTTTGTCACGATAAGCTCTCTGCAGAACAGGCTTGCTGTTTTGATTATTGCTCTGCTCTGCTTCTGCTTGAACAGATAGCGTAGGAGGTGTTTATTGTGCTGGTAGGAAGTTTGCTTTCTTGTAAAGAAAGGAAAAAGTTGGAAGTCAGGAATCTGGAAGTTAGGCAAAGTAGGAAGGTGCCAACAGCAGAGTACAGAGGCTGGGCAACCTTGGTGAGGCAGCGAAGAAGGTACCTCTTTAATTGCAGGGGAGTACAGCAGCCCAGCTGGTGGCTGCGGGAGAGCTGCAGAGGGAAGGAAGTGGTTGGTGGTACAGCACAAATAGGCTGTTCTCTTGAGGCTCAGCACTGCAGCAGCAGCAGGGTGGCATGGTCAGGGCTGGCTGCTTGGGCCTCAGCCCTGCAAGCACTCTTGGGGTGAGAAGAGAGCTGCTGTTGACTTGGCCCACTGTCATGCAACAGGCTCTTCTCAACAAACTTTGCAATAAAAAATCAGGAAGACGAATATTGCTGCCTGTGTCAGCACTTAAGCTTTCTGAAAGAGATTGGGGGTGAATCTGAATTTTCACCAGACATTTAGGATTTCCTGAAGGTTGGAAAGTAAAGGGACCAGCCTGCCAGGCTGCTATAGCTCAGCGTGCAGGCGTGTGCGTTGCAAGCTGGGGTTCATGTGCCCTTTTGAACTGAAGGGCAGGTTTACTCAGGAAGCAAACACAGAAGAGGCAGCTGTCTCATTCCACAAAAACAGTAGGTCCAACTGAAAGGATGTGTGAAACTGTTTGAGCAGCTGCTTTTACCTTTTCTCAGCCGTAATGACTTGACTTGCATTCAAATGACTGACACCTCACACCCAGTGTACTGCAGAACCATCTCTGCGGATGGTGTGTAACCAGCCAGCAGAGAAACAGACTTCCAGATACAACCAGAGCTTAACAAGGAGAGGGGGGAGAAACCAGTTCTGCAAACTGGAACCCTCCTCATAGAGGCCTGTACCTGGAGATGGGAGGTCACAGGGACAGGAAGACAGGAAGGCAGGAGGGGCAAAAAGTTGTGAAGGGTGCTGTACAGGTGTGAAGCATGACTCGATGTTAGCTTTCTTCCAAATCTTGATTACAAATCCAAACAGAGCTACAACACCTGGCAAGCGTAACCGTTAGCTTTACTGGAGGATCTGACATGAGAGGTGAGTAGTAGAGCAGTAACTGTATTTGGGGCATTGCTCAGCTCACATGCTCTGCTCACCTAGGGCTGCCAGCACAGCTCCCTCTGCCCCCAGTGCTGGCCCAGCCACAGCAGCACTCGCCAGTGGAGACAGCCTGGCCTAAGTGGCTTCTGTAGTACTGACAAAGCTACTCTGGGGAAGGGACAA